AAAGGCAAAATATCTACTGCATGAATATTTTTCATTGAGAAAAAAGTACGTTAGAATGTGTTGTTGTGATAAACAATTATTAAGCTCATTATAGAATAGTGAAAAAAAACAGTTTGTTTTGTTCTCAATTCATACTATTATACCTAGATATCAATCGTATTTCTCACATTGATGAATAGAAACAGTATGACAGAAAAACAAATGTGAGATTTTCGAAATGTTATTATACTGTATGTTATAAATACTCGAAAAATCCAAGTGCAGTGAGTTTCAGTTAAGAGGACTGTATAATTTGTTTTGGTTCTCTTGTCTAGCAAACAGCTCATCCGATCATTCTCCGTTTATATACTAATGATCGACTTTGTTCTTCATGTTTTTCATCTTTCTTCGTTTTCCATAGAACTCAAAATGTCTATTTACGAATATATTTGTTCTCAAATAATATTTAAACACAGACATATCATCTTTCTGAATGCATAATATTTTTTCGAAATAAAAAATCATCGGGACTCATATTGATGGGTGGGTGTGAAATAAAACAGTATCCACACTCATACTCAAGCATGCTCGCTAATTGTCAATCCACTGTCATTAAGATTTAAAAGAAGCTATATAAATCTTTACAGGTTGAAAAAACCCATCTATTTTGCAGTAATGTATGAGACATTCAAAAAATGAAAGAAAGGAAAGACGTCATTAACTTTGTTCAATAATTTTTCTAATCTAATTATGGAGATGCCGTTTTCCATCCACAGAAAGTTTACACAAGTTACCATCATTGTTTTTCTCACAGACATGTACTTTTATAAAATAATGTACTTTTTCTTATTGTAACTATAACAAACCTTGGTCTTTCCATAAACTCTCTGTTTCTATCGTTTCTTTCAAAAAATAATCAAAAAGATTGTCCAACTAACTTCATCTTCTACTACATACATCATATATCACAGCAGCATAGAAACGAAGGAAAAGAAAAGAAAAGAAAAGAAAAGAAAAGAAAAGAGAAGCAAAGCAAGTTTTTAGTGGATAAAGGTTTTTTTTCTCAAGAAAAATTAATTTAAAATGTGTTGTTATGATAAACAAGATGTTTTGTCTTTCATTAATCATAAATAGACACGGTTCCTAACTGTTTGGATAATTGTTAAATTGACGAAGAAAAATGCAATTATCTATTAAATCATGGATCATAATATTCTTTCATCAATCAAACATTGAAAAATCCAAATTCAATGAGTTTAAGTTCTAAGGATTATGCGATTTTCTTTGTTTCTATATGAATTGCGTGAGAATTGATTGATATACTCTACAATCTGTGAGATAAATTTGAATGCATATCTAATTTATATATGAACAAAATGAATTAAAATATTTTTATTTTTATAAGAAAAACTTCATTTACGACGAAATCTTAATTATTCTCTTCTCAAATCCAATTTTATTCAGTCGATTGTTCTATATGCTTTTTCATCTTTATTTATTTTCCGTATAACATATATGTTCTAAGTGTGAGTACGTATACTTATCTCTAAGTAACGTATAAACAAAGAAAAGTTGTCTTTCCGAATGAATTTGTGTTTTTACAAAATAAAATAAAAGTTATGACTAGCTTTCCATTAGATTGATGAAATGTAATAAAAAAGCATACGCTACAATGACAAGAGAAAAAGTAAAAAAAATAGTGTTTATCGCTCAACATATTCTTTTTCTTTTATTCTTAGTTAAATTTATTTCATCAACTCGCAATTTAGTCGACAATGGCTTCACGAAGAATTTGTTTATGGCTTGTATTTATGATTATCACACAATCAGTTGGAGAAGATATGCGATCAGTCAGAATGTCTTTAATGCGTGGATGGAGATTTCAATGCGGTAATACAACATGTTTACCGTTTGTTAATCACATTACGTCAACTATTATGAAGTGTCAAATGGCTTGTTTAGCTCAAATTTATTCTAGAGCAGCCAGTTTTCATCAATTAACTTCTAATTGTGAATTATTTACTGATATGTCAAATGAAATTGCAAATATGCAGACTGATATCGACATTACTAGTATGATTGTTATTACTGGAACACGATCTCCACCTGGTTAGTATAAATATACTAAATTTAGAAAGAAATCATATGAAATATTTGAGAGAGAAAAAAAAATTTCTTCTTTTAGTAAGCTTTATTCATAATTAGCTTGTTGATTAAGAATATGTATAAAGATGGGCCATGTAATGATTCACTTTTTTATCGTCTTTGTAGCATCGGAAATATCGAATAGAAACAATAAAATAGAAAATGAATCCATCCATTCATACCAGTTGATATAGAAGTAATAAATTAAGGAGAGTTCCATTCAAAGTTAAGAAAAGGAACAAAGCAAAATTTTTTTTGCTCATTCATTACTTATAATAAATGGTGAATATTGAAAAAAGTTTTCTTTTTTTCTTCTCTTACCTTTACAGTGAAAACTTCGTCATTTTCCGAATCAATAAGAAATCATGAATGAATCAGAAAAACGTTCGATTGCATAGCGAATAATATTGTCGACGATTGTTTTTGCATTCTGTTTCTAGTTTAAGTTAGATTAGGCAAGTACTTTTTGTAGTCTAACAACTACATTAATTAATGTAAGAGTATAATTGATGGAAATAATGAGTTTAGTACAAATCATCCTCGGTAGTAGAATATATTGCTAATAACAGTTTATCCTGCTTTTCAATTTTGATTAAATTCTGATCAATGAGAAATGTATGTAGTATTTCAAGAATATTGGTGTGAGTGTATGGGCAGTTGTTGATCACTTCTACACTCATATCCACATCCACATCCTAGATATATTGTTAGAAAAGGTACAAATATTAGACTATAAGCAAAACTTTATCAAATTCTCTAGTCTCAAAGTAATATCATTTCTGTAAACTAGAACCAACTACGACAATATCAACATCATCATCGTCAACCACTACAACAACATCAACTACAACAAGTACAACATCAACAAGCACAACTACAACAAGTACAACATCAACATCAACATCAACA